GCCGCACGCGCAACCCACAGGTAGAGTAGCAGGCCAGGATATTTTTCCCTCACGCACAATACATAGACTTTTTTCTCTCTCATGCCAGAGCTACACGCCCGCCTGAACAATAGGTGGCGCATACACTTTGCATTCCGAATATAGTGGGAACGTGCTGACTCCAAATCGCATAATTTTCTGTAGGCGCTGGCGTTGTATCTGGCCGTGCACGAATCGTCTGCCGACCGGCTCAGACAGATGCGCAAAAAATTGGATATCTCGTTCACATTGGAGAATCTGCAGGCGCGCTCGCTCAGCTTCAACAAATACCCGGCGCCAATAACCGTGTGGGTCGACAGCAACTACAGCACCTGGGGGGACGACAAATTCATCGACCTGGCCGACATGAACAGCTTTCTCAACGACGACACGGCATGTCTAGTCGTGCGCTTCCATGTGCGCGAGACCATCCATGAAGGCGCCCCCATGTCCCTACCAACATCCACAATAGCCGTGTATGTACCAGACAAAATCGCCGCGCCATTCAACCAGCTTTTGAAGTCCGCGCGGTTCTCTGATATCCAGTTTGAGCTGCGCGACTCGTCCTCATTGCTACTGTCACCTGGCCCGCCCGCGCACGGGCTGTTGCCGTCACCACGATCTAGCGGCGAATTTGTCAACCCGCTGGGCATCGACCAGTGCGTGACGCCGATGCCCGGGAACCGCACGCCCAGGGCATTACCGTATGCGCATCGTCCACGGATGGACGAGCCGCCGTTGCCGGGCCACCGGTATCATGCGCATAAGGCGATCCTGATGCAGGTATCGCCGGTATTGAGGCCATGTTCAGCAATGGAATGCGCGAGACATTCGAGCAGGTTGTGGAGTCTGGGATGTCACGCCGCGGGCGTTCGAGCGCTTTTGGAATTTGCCTACAACGGCAATGCGATCTGGACCCTAAATCGCCCAAATCCGCCAATGTTACGCCAGACGAGGTCGTCGAGACCTTGCTTTGCGCTGACCAGTTTGGCGTCACAGAGTTGCGCCACGTGTGCTGGCGGAACTTGATGTCCAAGATTTCCATCGAGACAGTGTGGAGAATATGGTCGATAGCAACCGACCTGGAGGCGAAAGAGCAGATGAGCTCGTGCCGCATGTTCTGCTGCCGCCATTTCACACAGCTATGCCAGAACGAATCAACCATGTGGGCGCTGCACATCTACTGAAGGAAGTGCTGGCCAGCGATGCGCTGAATGTGCAGAGCGAGGAGGATTTGTTCGAGACCGTGGTCCGATGGGCCGAGTTTCAGCGAGGACGACTCGGGCGACGAGCAGCAGGCGCGCGCCACGCCTCCGGGCCAGATAGTGTCGGCCGAGAAGCACACCAAAACCAGCCGGCCGTCGGATAGCGCCGTACTCAAATGCTACCGGTCGCCGGCCAACTTGGCGCTCCTGCCGCGCAGCCCACGATCGCCGTTCCTGCAGGCACGCAGCCCGCGCCGGAAATCTGAACTGACGCGTGAGGCCTTCACTGCAGGCGCTATGCCGGGCGCCACCACTCCACCCAGTACCGATTCGCCGCGCACGTCAATCTGTAATGTCGGCTGCAGTCAGTCGAGTACTCCGATACTGCCACCTTGGCTACATTGCATGCGCGCAAAGAACACCTATCGTCGCTATTGCCCCTGCATCCGGTTTCCGATGATGGACAAGCAATTTTTGCTTACTGTCGTCGAACGTAATTCCGAGCTGATGGCCATGCCACTGATGAAGGATTTGCTGATTGAGGCATACCGGTTCCATGCGTTCAATCCACCCGCGCCTGTGGAGAAACCTGAGCGGCGCCGGGCATCAGAGTGTTTTGCAAAGCGGGAGTCGAGCACGCCTGTGGAGCAGTATGCGAAAATTATCTTGCCATTAAACGGCACGGACGAGTACACGCTGTCGCGCTCGCAGCGCCGCAAGTGGGTTTTCCAGAATGCTGCTCAGAAGACCCTTGCTCAAAACATATTCGCCTAAAATGTAACGTACCAAGTTTACGTAGATTTAATACCACACAACATCGTTTGCACCTTTTATTCGTATCACCTTACCCCTCCCCGGATTCAGTTTTCACAGAATCCCAAAAAGCCTATTTCAAACTCCTTTCCTTCCATACCCATTCAATAGATATCATTCACATATCACAACCACTGCTTCAGTCTGTTTTCCAATCTCAGTTTGTTGAAAAGAATGTCAGCACCGCAGGTGAGATACGAGGACATTGATAGACCAGCGTTCCCAATTAATATGCTGTTCATGGATTCTTCTATGACGGGCACCTGCCATCCCCTCCCCGTTTGACCGGGGCAGGCGACCGCAGGCCCGGGTCTCCGCTTGCAGGGCTACAAATCCGATCATCATGGAGCATGTCCACAGTAGCGGAAAGCAGCGCGCAGCCTTATAGCACGGAGCCGGCAACCAGGCACTTGTCAACAACAAAAGGTAAAGATTCCTCCCTCTGCCTGCCCCTGCCTGCTGCGTGTCACCGCCCGCCTCCCCATCCACCGATTATGGTTATGTTTGCGCTGTGAGTGAGAGCCAGCAAATCTATCGGAACAACAAGACTGGGCTCTCAAAGAACAGCGCATCTGCACTTGCTCTATCGACGAACATGCAAGCTGCCCTGCCATGAAGCAAGGCCGCAAGGGTCCTGGCAGTCTCACTGAGCGAACTCTAAACCACAGGCTCCCTTGCTGCGTCGAAGTTTACCTGAGGTGCCTCCCCACTCTAAGCCACCGATTCCCTGTCGACACCACTGCCCTCGCTGGTGCTGCCTTAGGGGTGGTCCTGCTGGCAATCGGATGGTCTGTCAGTTTCCGAGATTGGCCATGTGCATCCATCGCAGATGCCCACCCGCAGTGAACGACAGTGCTTTGGATTCGACTGGGCAACAGAGGAACACCACCCCGCTTCTTCCCGAATACCCGCTAGTTCATTCCTATTTCCTCTCCTTGACAAGATACCGTCTCCAAGAGCTGAATAATGGCTATTGAGCGCGCATGCACCAACAGAGAAAACCACGAGTGCGAATGCGGCTTCAGCAAGATCTCTTCTCTAGCAAGCGTTTCACACCCTAGCAAATAGAAATCGCAGTAACTATCGATAGAGCATCTCCGGTGTTAGGTCCATGTGTCCTTGCTGCCGCAGCCCGCCGCAGTGTTTTGTGTAGATATACCTACAGCGCCATGCACGAGGCACACCCCTCCACTGCTTCTGGAATATGCTGGTCACAGGACTGTGTGCAGTAGTCCTATCCGGCCCGGCACTTGGCGAACTCACAAAAAGCACGTAGCACGCCCCTTGGCACCGATGTGCATGCACCAGAAAGCAGAGCACCAGCCCATTTAAGGGACAGGCATGCCCCAATCCCCCTGCTCGCATAGACTTGTCAACAATAACAGTACAAGCTATACATCTACCATGCCATTCCGCAATTTCTTCAAGAGGCTTCCCAGCACAGACACCCGCACCGAACCCGATGGCTCCATCTTTTATTCGAATACATCAACAAAATCACAAAGCAATGCCCATTCATTGGCTAGTGCTGCCGAGGGCAATAGTCCAGACCATGTCCTCACATACCTCTATAGCGCTAGCAGCAGTCAAGGCAGTTTCGGCACCCGTCCATTCACATACCACAGCTAGACTTGTTCACAGAGTATTTTAATAAACCTTTCGGCTTGCATCGTTTGCGGTGACCTACTCTGCTTTTTGCCAACCGACCGTTTTTTTGCTTTGCTGGTAGATAGCCGCCACAGTCTACGCTGTGCTTCCTGCATACAGCAACAGCCTTCCTATGCATATATATAGCAGAAACTGGCTTTGTTATCCAAGTCCTCAATGTGTCTGGATTCAGCAGGAGCCGCTGACGATCCACAACGCCACCTTCAAGAATCACCTGTGGACCAGCTCTATGTGCATGTATTCGACAGACAGTGACAACACCAACGACTTCCATTTTATGCACTATAGACAGTTTGCAGTCTACAGTGCTGCCGCCATTTCATTGACGCAACATGTGCTTAAGCTAAATGCTGCCATGCATATTCTAATCTAACTGCATGGTCCGTATGGTTTGTCCATTGCATATCATGGAAACGGTAGCAGATGCATAACACACATATCGACCGTCAGCGGTACAATATTCCAAATAGCAGCGTTTATTTACCGAATATGTCAGTAGTTTGATGAGCAGGGCACTGGACGAGACAGCGTTCTACTAAAGCATTGGCAAAGACACATGTGCTGCTGGTGGAGACAACACGGACCAACGATGAAAGTAGCCTCAAACACAAGTGCATTGCAGATCATATACATGTTAATTTTCCTGTTCTCAGAAATTGGTTTACAAGCCAGGTCAGCTTTCGTGGCGCAACTGGTTAGCGCGTCTGACTGTTAATCAGGAGGTTGATAGTTCGAGCCTATCCGAGAGCGATCTTTTTGCTTTTGTATCTTTTGATGCCCCAAAATATAGACATCTGAGCTGATCTCCATAAATATTCAAGGGTATACAGATGTTGTCATACTATTTTGTGGTAGCACTACTTGTTTTCAACATCATCTTAAACCTCTTTTTCTACCATGGACAAGTTTGGAATGAACAGCCAGACGGAGCACTGGCATGCCAAGTATGTGGGTACCGGCAACCCAGATATCAGCAAGCACGAATGGTTCGTCAACCAGCACCGCGATACCTTAGCATATTACGCTTCGGATAATAGCCTGGCAGCCTTCATCAGCATTGCTGAAGGAGAGAGCATCGCGCGAACAAAGTACAATATGCTCCAGCGGATGCAGCAACCATGCGGACACGCTCCCCGCTCCTCGGGCACAGACTCATAGCAGTGCAAACGTGTCGATTGCGTCACATGGACAATGGGAAAACAGGTGCTATTGTGCATATATGCTACTGCCGGCCCAAATTGGGACCTTGAATCACCATGCATTATTTAGTCTAGATGCTGGGTTTACTTCACCTCTATGGGCTAGCTTGTCATAGGCTGGGACGTTTGAAATCAGACCGGAATTACAAGACTCGCCGCTTGCCTTTGCTGCGGAATGGTCAATCGCTTAATGCATACCTACATACATAGGGAGGGACCGAGTCGGAAACAGGCGAAGGACAAATTAATTGTGGCATGGTAGCTCTGACCTTAGTTGACAGTATAAATACAGTCCAAACTACATAATCCCTCAATATCATCACAGCGCCCTTCTCTACCGACCACTTGTCAATTGAAAGGCATGACCTCTAGCACCTTGTCACAATATCCTTTTTCCCTTTTTTTTTTTTTTTTTTAAGTCAAGCCAGGAGACAGTTGCCCATTTTGCTCATGTACGCCTTCCTTTGGGATTCAGGACCAGATTGAACACAACATCGAATGCATAGGCTAAAGACAATCGATTGTCTCAAGGGCTAATCAGTTGAACTTTCACGCTGCTTTGACAACTGTCGGCAATTCTGGGTGTGCCACACCTATTGATTCGATGATACAAAAGTGCTGCCAGCTGGTCTACCCTCTATTAAAAGCTTTCTCCAATATATCTACAGTCCTTGACAGGAAGATTATACCTCGGGAGCTAGAATCATTTGGGAGTTTATAACATTAGCCTGCCCTCGATGGCAAAGTGGGCATGCATAGCTGCTGTGGTCAAGTCCCAGTGGGAAATCGATACATACCATAGATATTGCGACTCCAGCCCATGAGTATTCCGTAGCGCACATCTAACCATATCATCAACAGAACATCATTGTTGGCCATGGAGCGCCAAGTTATTCATACGGCACCCCAGGTCTGACTGTACACGCCCAGACACGGGTTCAGGGAAGCCATCTGACCCTCCTTTTATCTCCTTACAAGCGATTTTGAAAGAAATAAACAAAAATGACTGAATATTCATTTGGAAAGTTAAATCCGAATATCAACATTCATGTTATTCAATTGGGCCAAAGTGTTGTTTACTGGAAACCTGCTCTATATTACAACCTCAGCGATGGTGATCATGAAGCAATAAAGCGGAACCTCTCAGTTCTATTTAGCAAACAACTGCTAAAGTTTACTGTGGCTTTATCCTTCTTTGCCAATACAAACCACTGTTGATTACTTTACTATGCACACACCTCCCACCACTAAACGCTGTTACTGTCATGTTGCTGAAATGAAAGCTTGGTGCCTGCAATGTGGAGCTCGGATAGATTTGCTATGGGAGGCGGACTCTCACAACAGGTACTGTACCTACAGGATGCCAAACATCATGAGACCTGGACGTTTTGGGAACAGCTGATTTTTTAGTTAGTGTGGAGTGTCCGACAATACTTTCACTGTCGAGTTGTTATTATTGGCTCTAGTAGTTCCAACCAACGCCTCAGTTCGATGGCAACAGAATTGTTCGTCCGCTGCAATGCACAAGCCGACTCTAGTTTATAAAGGCTGCCCTCCGCCAAGGGCTTTTTTTGCATAATTAATTGGTTTTATATATTTCGATATGGATGTTTTTACAGGAAATCTTGCAAACAATCGTACCAGCGGTGATGATGCTTCAGCCGTATCCAACAAATACACAAGGCAGCATAAAATAGAAAAGATGCATGGACTTGCATGTAAACTGTGGCAGAACTCGCAAGAGGATGGCGAAACTCTTACAGATAACGCTCAACCAGATGAGGGTAGTGGCACACACCTTGTACGTAACTTTGCATTCACCAGCCTCTACTGCCACCACTGCAACAGCCAACTGACATCCGATGACGCATTTATCCACCATTCCCACCACTGCGTAGACTAGGCGGACTGCTTGTCAGCATATCATTTATAAAAATGCATATGAAACAGTTACATAAAACATACATGCTTGGTGTTACAAATGTTGTGATTGGAATGTTGTCCTTTCATATCACACCCATTGCACTCTATTTACCATACACCTGCATACGGATAGTTTATTCAAATATTCAGTGAGAAATCTTGAGCGAGAAATCGACATGCGGGACGCTTTGCGTCATGGCGCCAAAGCTGATGATGTCGATGCCCTGACCCATGTATAGCGGAGCCGTCTCCTCAGTGATACCACCGCTGGCCTCAACC